CAGAAATGTTGGGCCGCTCAGGGGGATGTTAATGACCAAGCGTAACCAATTGGTTGAGGTTTCACCGTCAAAATTGTATGATGAAGTGGATGAAGATAAAGATGATAAACGGTTTTCCATTAAAAGTGCAAAGGAACTCAAATGGTTACATTGGCAAACAGTGTGGGTATTATTGGTGGCCGCCACGGAGCAACCCTCGGTTAACCAATCGGACAACTCACGGGACCAGTAAACACATTTGGGTGAAGATACATTATCTTCTTGAAGATGACGGAAGACGATAATTATTGGTTGAGTCAATGGTGTGCTTAAAGAGGTTTCATATGAAGGTTGAGAGGGTAATGATGAGGTTGATGATGAACTGGTGCTAGATGATGTGCTAGGATGAACAATGGATGCTCCAATAATCCGTGAATTAATTATTGATGATTGGCTAGTTGAATAACTTTGAAGTTTGGACAATCTTGAATTAACATCCAGCGAAGAGGAAGGTAAAGATGAAGAACCAGGTTTAAGAAGATCTTCAACTCGATTATAAGCAATGAATGATGCTTTAGCAAACCCTGGGATAAGAAGAGATGAAACAAAATCAGATGTTATTAATATAATTACAAGTCAAGTTGAGGTTAATTTAATGGTTTCAAGAGAAGAACAAGAAAGATGAATCAATTTTTCTTCTTCTTCTTGGTTACTGCTGTTACACTGAATCATTGTAGCAAAAATGATAAATAATAAGATGGGCAGAGAAAGGAGAGAGAGAGAACCCAAAGATTGACCGGAATCACTTGTAAAACATGTTACAGACCAATTGATAGTTGATGCTCAATTTAATCGCATCTCTTTTTTATTCATCATCATCATCATCTTGATGGTTCATCTTCTCCCTCATCAAGAGTGAAAAACACTTGAACGGCCATTAGTTAGTCTCAAGCCGTCAATCATTCATTAGATAGTTAGATAGAGATGAAGAGCTAATAGTAAGCCTGAAAAGAAAGGCTAACAAGTGAAGTTTATGGTTAAGTACAAAAAAAAGAAACCCAAAAATGAAGGCGAACAAAATTATCCTCATCTTTCTTCTTCTTCTTTTAACTGTTTCTTTTTACTCTATCATTTCTGATGACAAGGTAGTCAGAAGATGAGTTGATAACAGAATAAGTTGAGGCAAGAAATGAATAAAACTTTGAATCGGATAACAAGAGATATTGAGGTTTGGGCAAAGTTTAACCAAGTAATTCACTTGAACAACAAATTAACTTTCAATTCGTTAATTGGCCTTAAAATCTTATCCATCAACAACCATGTAGACCCTACCTTGTACATACATGGTACATGCAACTCTAGATGGTAAAAGAGGATAAATTTTTTTATCTTTTCTCCTCTTCTCTTCTCTTCATGTTCAATCTTTTGCCCATCAATTTTTTTTTCATTGATAAATATCTAGAAGTATAAAAATGAAGAGAACACAAAAAATTTATTTCTTCTCATTGCTCATCTTGAAAAGGTACAGAAGTCAATATCAAGACCAAGGTTAAGGTAAACAGTAACGAGTGCATGCATATTATTTTACTTATCATCATCATCATCAACATCATTAAAATTATTATCACTATTAGTAAACGATTAAAGGTAAACACACACACACACAAGTTGGTAGTTAATGGTAGTAATTTTCAATTCCATATTTTACCCCGAAAATTGAATTGATTTAGGAAACGAGACAATTAACCAAAGTTAATCCATCAAAATAACTTTCTCATTCATCTTATATTAGCCTATTAGCCTCATCATGATAAGGTAAGAAAAAGGTAAGATGATCGCGATATCAACATGAAAAAGGAAACCGTTTAAAGACAATGGGATTGAGATCTTTAACAAAACCAGTATTGTGTGTGCGTTTAAAGATGAATTAGTATTTACCTTTTTTATTGAAACATTTGAGCATAAAAATAATAAAATTATTTCGCCTCAAGCAGTTTACATTTTTTTGCTACAACGAATGATGGAGAAGGTAAAGCTTGAGCTACGGGAAAATGTTTAAAGCCGCTTTTGCTGTACAGCAGCAAATCACGCTTTTTGTTTGCTATACGATTGAACGTTTTTTTTGAGTTTACAGTAAGAGATAAGCTTGATTCAGGTTGAGCCAATGCTAATTATCAAGTTAATTGTTTTTTGCCTACCAACTGAGAAAAAATGAGAATTGGAATTATGTTTACTGCTATTATTACTTCATGATAATAATAGTACAGACAAACGTCAAATATATTGTTTAACTAGTTTTGTCGTTGGGAAGATGAGGATCAAGATGATGGTGATTGTGAAAATATGAGACTCTTTGAATTGGAGAAGAGCTAATTTTGGGAAACACGCAAGTTTGTTCAAGTTAACTTTTGTGTTTCGCTTCATTGCTGTTTTACCGTTGAAATGGGACAAAGTTACTAGATGATTCTGATTAGGTTGATGGTGAGGATAATGAAAGTGAAATGGCGACAACTAACGATCCAGGGCGTTAGATGTAACCATTTTTAGGAAAACAGAGAAACTTTGTTTCTAACTCTTGTTTGTTGTTTTGTCAGTTTCATTTCATTTGGTCTTTTCTTTGTTGTAATTGTTCAGTTGATTGTGAATGAGAAAAGTGGAAAAGACAAAGAAAAATGAAACTTTTTAGAGGCGTTTGTCTTTAGATGAACATCACTTTAAGAAATGGGCAAGGAACGTGTTACTAAAGCGACTAATATTGAGATTGTTGGAAAGTTAAGAAGATAAATAAGAAGATAATAAAGAGAAATGACGAAGTAGGAAGAAAGTTTTAAACTGTATTGGCCTTTTTAAGGTAACATTTTTTTGGTTTACTTTTTTGGTCTTTTTTTTTCTTAGGAAAACGCCTCTAACAAGCAAGCAAAAAGCCTCAAAAAATAGTTTTTATTTTTCCTTTTTTCTCCTCTTTTCTTTCTCTTCTTCTTGTCATCATCACAAGAAACCTTCAACCACAGTTTTAGCCACAGATCTAACAACAAGAACAACAAAATGCTGAGCCGAGACAAGGACTGATGAGTTTTAACGTGACCCAGAGGGTTGTTGGTAGAAGGGCAAAGAGGAATTGAGCGAGGCCACAAGAAAATGAGGAATCTGGTTAACTATTTTGTCGATTGGACCTACACACTCACACGCCTTTTTGGCCAAGAAATGAGCTAGTTTTTTCTTCTCTCTTTTCCCAAAGAAATGGTAAAAAGATGGATGAAGAGAATCAAGAGAATGAGCAGATTGATTAGAAGAGAGAGAGCGAGGTTAAAAAGAAAGAGAAGATAAGAGGAAAGGGAGTTGACTGAAAAGACGGGAAGAGAACAAGAAATTGAGTCTCAAGTAATCGTGCAGAATAAAAAACTAGCCAAAGAGATGAGTTTTTTTGTTGCAATTGGTATTTTAAGCTTTTCCTTTGCAACCAAGAAAGAGGCTAGAGAAAGGTAGTAAGGGCCTCCAGGTAAGAGAAGATGATCAAGATGATGATGAAGATAGAGAAAGAGAAAAGCTAATTTCAATGAGATAGACAGGGCGGGTAAAGGCCGAAATAGGGGGCCACCCCGTAGATGCGTTTTTTCACAAACTTTTTTCTTCTTCATTTATAACCTTATACTGAATAAATTTTTATATAATAGAGAGAGAGAAGAAGATGAAGATGAAGAGAAAAAAGACTGAGAAAAGGGAAGAGAGGATGATATGAAGTAACCTTTCAATTTTTGGGCTTCCTTTTTATGTTAACTTTCTTGTTGTTGCCTTGATCATTGAGATCTCATTTTGTTGCTATTTTACATTGATTACAATGTAGTTATTTTTTTACTCTACAATATCATCAGACATTTGATATTTAATTTATTTTTTTTCTACTTTTTGTAACCAAAAAAAGTAAATTTGACGTTCAACATTTTTTCGTGGTTTGACCTACCTTGATGGGAGTATTGTAATAGTGATTGAGCTGGAAGAAATAGTGAATCTTCCATTCGAATCCATTCAGTATCAAAGGTATCTTCAATGGTTGGAAATTGTAAGTTAATTGGCACATTAGTTTCCAAAACATGAACAGCGACCACTGAGTTTTGACGGGGGGCAAGAGAAGAGAAACAAGAAAAACAAAAAAAAAAGTTGAAAAGACACGAAAAAAAAGATTGAAATTGATTGTAATTGGGTTTTGGGTTGTAAGACGAGGTTCAATTAGACCATTTGAGATTCAATTGTTCAAAGGAAAACAAAAGGTAAACTAATTAGGAGCACATTTTTTCCCTCTGTTATTAATACAAATGATTAACAAATGTTTATTTACAATCGGCCCAGCTCATTAACTTGATTGAGAAGGTTGTCTTTATACTCATTATGATTATCATTACTAGCAACATGACCATCAGGGAGCCAAATGAAGAAAAGTACATTTTAGGTAAAAAGAGATATTTTGTTCAATTCAACTTTACAGTCATAATGGTAATCAAGTTAAGTCAGGTTGCCATTTACCTTTTACATTTAAGGAGTGTCACTCTCATCATTCACTCATCTCTCTCTCTCTCTTCACTGAATCTCCATTTTTTTCCTTTTCCATGTGAAAAAATGAACCAACAGAAGCTTGACTTTTAAACTCGTCATTCAACTGTTAATAGCTGCAAATAGAGGTAAAAAGCAATAGGCTGAGAGGTAACAACGACAGCAGTAAAAATTGCTTGTCCTTCTGGTAAAGGTGCATTAGGACACAGTAAAAGAGCAACAAAATGTTCATCATTAGGAGGAAGAAGGAGGAGGAATGAGACAAGAATGAGTCTAAATTAAATCAATGAATATTTTTGTTTCTCTATTTTTACGACTTTCCGTCGTTTGGTGAACACTTTGGCTCCACTCCGCCTATCCAATAGATACATTTGGGTAATCATCATAATTACAATTCATTTGTTCATTTCATTAGTTGTTCAACTTAGCACATTTCAAATTGTCATAGTTGGGTTAAGTTTGCCTCTTGTTTACCAAAAACCTTTTTTACTCTCATTTTACAATGCAAATTGTTTACTATTCATTTATATTTATTCATCATTTTTCCATGCTCTCTGTCAGTGATAAGGTTAATTTTTTGTCTTCAATCAACTTCGCAAAATGCATCAATGAGTTTAAAATGGGTTGGGTGTACTTTTCACATTTTTTTACTTATTTTTCTCCTTCTTCTTCTTCTTCTTCTTCTTCTTCTTCCTCTTTACTTTTTCCTATTTTCCTCTCTTCTTGTGCATCAATTTCAATGAATTGTTCAACTTCAATTGCTGTTTAAGATTGATTTTTAAATTTTGTTTTCATTCCATCGACTGGGCTTTGTTTACTTACTTGCCCAACTTGACTTGAAACCTTTTGCTTTATACTTTTTAAGCTTTACTGTTGATAAGTTCACATTTTTTTAGCTCCTCTTTTAGTTTTACCAATTCAACAATTCAATTTGCTGGTCAATTTAATGTGAATAAAAGGGATTTCAATTGAGGATTGCAATGGATTTGCAGGGGCAAAAGGTTTTCTTTAAAGGTTGAGGAGAAATGATTTGAAATGATACTTACAAACATTAGGACGTTTGACCGTGAAATAGCCATCACGGTTGGTGTTTTCAGCCAAAAGAAGGGCACTTTTTTCAAGTTCATCAAGCAAATTGAAGGCAATTCGTTTACGTTTCTCTGGAGCCAAATCTAACCAAGCCTCATCTTGAGCTGGACTCAAAAGATTTGAAACTGAATAAACAAGTGAAGTAAGTAATTCCTCGAGAAATGCATTGGGCTGCCATCGAGGTATTTCCCATCCCTTGGTTTCTCGAGCATGCAGTATAATTTGACGGATTAGGTTAGATATGGTTTCCAAGTCACGACTGAAAATGGGTTTACCAATGGTCATGTTGGCCAGGTTGGTTGATATGTCAACCGACAGGGAGCCTCGCTCAAGTTTGTCCCATAAACTGTCGAGCCAATAAGAGCGACACTCCAACATGTCGGGTCCACCAACAACCCAAGTTCCCGTAACTTCAGAGCAATGCCAACGTGCCAGGCCAGCAGCTCCACCGGGACAGTTTTGAATAAAAGTGTCTCCAAGAGAAGTATAATTCCAATTTAAACTTCGTCGAAAGGTTGGAGGACAAAAGCGTCCACCAACTTCAATGGACTGTCTAGGAGCGTAAAGGACTGCAGATGAAGGTGAAGCCACATTTGACGGAGAATGATATAAAGGTGAAGATTCAGAGGAAGAAGAAGATGAAGAAGGTGATCGAGATCCAAATGGATTAGCAATTGAATCCAGGTTACTTGGTGCATCTTCAGATGGAGAGGGCAGGTTGAATCTTGAATGTGGTTTAGTTAAGACATGATTGAAGGGGAAGGTTGAAGATGATGATGATGATGACTGGACAGAAGATGAATTATTAATTTTAGGATTCAGTTGACTGTCTCCTTCTGAACCAGATGATGATAGAGGATTGGCTGTTGATGGATCAATTGTTGAATGACTATGACCTGAAGGTAAATTTGATCGGCTATTATGACCATGACCATGACGAACATGAGTTGGTCTTGATGATAATCTAGAATCATCTGCTGGTGAAGGAGAAGAAGATGAAGAAGATTGACCTTTTTTACTATCATTACTATTTGGATTGCTATTAAAATTACTATTGTTATTAATAAAACTATTTTCTTTATTTTTATTCTGATGATGGTGTTGATGTTGAAAGGTATCAGTTATACCATCACTTTTGTCATTTGATGTTAAAGATGGAGATGATGGTAAAAAGGAGGAGGTTGAAGTTGATGAAGATGAGGGTGAAGATTGAGATGATGAGCCAATCTCCCGATCAATTGGTTTGGACGGTCGATTTATCCGAGAATCAACAGGTAAGGCAATGTCAGTGGGTGGTCGTCGGGTTGTTGAAGATGAACCCACTGAACCAGGGTAAAGAAAGAAAAGAACAAGAAACAAAAAAAAAATTACAATCAGATACAAAAATGAAACCAGAAACAAAAAACAATTTTAATCAAAGGTAACAATAATTAAGATTAATGCCTTGTGAGAAAAACAAAGAGAGGTTAGGAAGAAGCGCAAAATGAGCCAACATGATAAGCAAAGAGTAAGACCCTGTAGGGTTTACTTTAGCCTCAGCAAACATCAAGGTTATCATGTTGATAATATAATATAATAATAACCAATTATTATTTGTTGATGCCACACACGAACCATTAGCCAGTTAAGACCAGAATACCTGACAAACATACCAATAGCAAGAAGTGCTAAACACATTCATATACATTTTTACTCAGCCAAAAGTTCATTATCATTATCAGAAACAAAGCAACAAGAAGCAGCAGCAAAAAAAGAAGGCTAAATAAAAATAAATGAACCAACATTTAGTTTAAATGTGAAAAATAAACATTATTAATGGGCCAACATGCAAACAAACCATTTCTTATGGTTTGATAAGAGCTTTTGTGATATTTCAATGAAAGAGCAACAAAAATTGCTATCAATAACAATGATAACATTTTTTGGTGACTATTTTCATCTTTTGCTTTGCCTCGTTTGGCTTTGATTCACTTAATTGTCAAGAGCTTTATGATTAGATTGATTACAAGTTTTGCTTTTTTATGTTGGAACCAACAATAATCATAATTATCAATTGATTTTCAGAATTTTGTTTTCCCTACTTAATCATCATTATTGCAACTTGTAAAGGAATATGAAAGGAAAACGAGAAACGATAAATGTTGACAATTTTCATCTAATGGACACTCAAGGTATCATGTAACTCTCTTCATTACCTTTTCTCAGTTGTTCATCATATTTATCATTCTCTCTCTCTCTTTGATTACTGTTGATGATTAAAGTATATTTCATTGCTGTTAGGATGATAAGTGTACAAGTTATTAGACAGAGAGAAACATCAGAAAACAATCTTTTTCTTAGCACCTACACGCAATCTTGGGGTGGAAGGTAAACTTGAAACTTTGAAACTCCCACCAGTTAAAGAGGATGATAATGATGGTCGACTCATAAAGAGATGAGAAGACATCTTAACCAGTGTATCATTTGAAACAAAAAAATCATTATTTACTCCTATCAGTTTACTAGTTTCAACTGGCGCAACAACAACTTAGTCAAGTTTAAATGGGTGCTTAAAAAGTGCTCAAGATGATTATCATGAAACAAGGTAAGTAAACTTGTATCATCATCATCTCTTCAGGTAGTCCATTTTGTTTCTTTTTTTGTCTCAAGAGAAAGATGATCAAGAAAAAAAGGTAAAAACGAGTAAAAATAAGTTGAGGTGTAATAAAAATCTCAGCAAAAAAATGTTATAATTCTTGTCAAAAGTAAACATGCAACATTGGATTAATAGAATGACTTGTTTTTCTGGCTCTTTTTCACATTAATTCAAGTGAATTAAAGCTGAAAAATAAATGGACCCAATTTTACTTCACACATAACATCTACATGATGAAAATGGAGAATGAATTTCATGAATAAGAGTGGCTAATGTTGAGAGAAAAGAAGTGTTAAAGATAAGAGTGACTGCAAGATTGTCAATTTAAATGATTAAAGATGAGGTTTAACATTAAACATATCTTTTGGCAAGGAGAAACAAATTAGGATAAAAATGGTCAAAAAAGAGCGGAAACATAAACAATTTTAATGAGAAATGATGACTTGATTGCGAACTGTTGACCCTGCACTTTGCAAAAATTATTATCGACATGATATGTAATGGTGAAAAGTGTCAAAAAGGAGAAAGAGAAGCGATCAAAATTGTTCTTCTTTCTTTTCACTATTTTCCCATCTTTTCAAATACTTTTTCATCATGACAATGGCAAGGGCTAACAAAACCCTTTGTAAAAGGTTTCAATGTACAAGGTTTGATTGGTTTTTTGAAGAGAAGACATTATTTGCAACTAGAGCAATGAAAGAAACTGGTACTTTATCCATTAGACTTAGTGTCCAGTTAAGTGATAGTTAAACCACTTGCATCGAGAACTTGTGAGCAGGGCTTTTTATTTTCTATGCCGTTTGTCTATCTTGTGTCTATGAATAAAAGATAGCCCTAAAAAAGTCTATTCATTTTCAATGGGAAAAAATTATCAACAAAATTGGTTACAAAAAAGAGCGCATATCTTTGACCTAATACCATAAACACATGTACTTAAACCGCTGTTGAAGGTAACCATTTAATCAAATTGTTAAATTGATAATCTGGTGCTTTTGTTGAAATTGGTTAATAACTAACACTGTTAACTATGCACAGTTTACCCAAAAGACAGTGATTAGAGTTGATACAAAAAAGTCAAAATTAAAAGGAAATGATAAGAAAGCTAAAATGAAAATCGGAAACCCATTGAAGGCAATGGAAAAGGAAGAAAAAATTTTGTCTTGAAAATTGGAAAATATTTTGAGATTAGATTACATATTGGTTTAAATCAGTTGAACCAGAAAATCTTGAAGTCATCGAGATAAAAACATTTGGGTTTCGGCCTCGAGTTTTTATCTCATAACTTCTGAATGCAGTGGTTCAACTATTGCCTAAAATTGTTGCTTATATCAAGATTATCATTTCATATGCAAAATGACTTATTTGTCAACTTTCATTTTGTGGAAACCATTTTATCAGTTGCTTTTCAGACGATCCTAATCCATCATTGTTTCCTAATGGGACGACAAGTGAAAATTAAAATCTTAAAATGAACCTTTTCTTAATTATTAGATTATTATTAGATAAAAATTTGTTGCTAATTTTACTTATCAACAATTTACCATGTTTTTGAGCTTTAATTTTATCAAAGGCTGATGATGGAAGAGAAAAAAGTCTTTTCCGTTTTCATCATTGTTCATGATAACTGTGTGAGAAAAATGATTAACACCAAATTCATCATACATTCAGTGTATCATGACAACTTTTTATTGTATAATAATAGCGTAAATGGATGACCTTTTTATTTGTCCTTTACGTTTCCAAATCAAGAGTCCAAGTATGGGTGAGAAACTGAAAGATAATCATGTTCACCATCAAACTCAAGTGGACAGAATACACATTGAATATATATGTTTTCATTAACTTTTTCAGCCTCAACTTCAACTAAAAGCAAGAGTTTTTTTGTCGTCATTTCTCTTCACTTCCCTATTCAAGTGACAATTTGCAAAGTTACAACTCAATAATGCATAAGGGTGAAGTGATGATGATGGCGATGATGGTGATGATGATAATGTTTAATGATACTGTCAATCTTAAGTGAGAATTTTTGAGACGAAAAAAAAATGTTCGATGTTGAGGAGAAAATTTTTCAACGAGAAACAAAAAGAAAAATGATGTTAAAGTGACTTGGAGACTTGATTACTTGGTATCAGTTGATGAGCACCATCATGATGGTGAATGATGATTAACTCAAGATCAATGATGAGAGGAATGAAAAGATTTCATTTTCATTATTCATTTTTTCATCATTTTTTTCTTGTTCCAACAATGAGGAATTAAGAAAAGTTTAATGAATTGAAAAGGAAGTGATTTTAATACAGTTGATCATCATAATCATTACATTAATCATGAAAAGAAGCAAAACATGATCATTAACTGTTGTTCAACTTTTACTCCTTTGATTGTGAAAAGTTTTACTCTTTTTGCACTTCAATTTTCAATGTATCAATGGAATGTCAGTGAATAACTTTTATCTCAAAATGTTTTGTCTATTGTTGAACATTTCGCTTCTTTACATGATGACTCTTCTTCTTAATCATCACTATCTTCCGACTTCCTTCCTTCCTTCTTATCAATAATGTTACTTTTCTTCTTCTGTTATCTTCTTTTCTCCCCTGAGCATCTTTCTTCATTTTTCACCAGCAATTCAACACAATTGATGAACAGATACAACCAGATGAACACAAACAAACAAAAAACAATCTTATGTGTAACTACATTTGAAATGTACAAAAATTAATGTTAGGCAAAACTGGCTCACAATTGTCAGTAATTGCTATGTTTTGTCAAATTGTACTTGTCAATGCAACAATCAATTTTAATCGCGTTATTCACACAATCGCACTTAGCCAAAAACAATAAGAAAATCATTGAATTAAAGTTAATTCAAATTGATTGCTGTGGCTGGACTCAGTTTCAAAGCCTTTCCATACTCATTAGAACCATAAATAGAGACAACTTTATCATCTTTTACTTTCCTTCTAACCACAGCTTTGTATTTCCATTAACAGTAAATTTAGTTATATCATTATAATTATCATTGTTTTTATTATAACCAGTCTTTCCTATTCAAACAAACCAAACTCACTTGACCTGATTCAATTAACTTTAATCAACATCAACTGGTCAGTTTATTGTGTTTACAATTATATTTATAAACACACACCACTCTCATGTAACATCAATTGAGACCAAGCGCAGTTGACATACTTGAGATGAAAGGATAAGGAAAAGACTTGAAGAAGCAGAATAACAAAGTTTTCATTTTACAAAAATGAGTTGAGGTGAAATTGTAATCATTTTAAATGTTGCTACTTTAAAGCTCAAACAAAACATCTCATTAGTATGACCAGTGAGTTTTGTCCAGTCGACTAATGAAGAGTTGGTTAAAATCATTAAAGAGTCTAAATCAGAGCAAAATTTGAATTCGCATTACTTTTTCCTTTTGAACATTCAACGGTCTTTTTGCTTTGTACATTTTAACAAGTTTCATTAGGCAATTGCCTTTAACTCAAGTGTTGCTATGTAAAAATAACGCTTATAAGACACAAAAACGGAAAAAATTCAAGGCTGCAAGACGGCTGGTTGAGAGTCTCATTCCTCTGGTCAATACACGGTGAATGTATCAAAAGAAAGTAAGTTATGAAAGGATTGGAGGTTAAAATTAATAATGGATTGGAACGTTGAATAACTGCCAGAATATCATGGATTAAAATTATTCTCAACATAGAGCAAAAGAAGACTGACTTTGAACCTGAAACGGAAGATATTGAAATGATGCAGACTCCGACTTGTGTTAAAGTTGTTCGATTTTTGAACCTGAAAAAGTTGAAGCGAAAAATGATGCGAAAAAGTAAAGATGAAGAAAAAGAGATTTGATTCAAAGTTATTCATTCTAACAGGGATTTCCTATTCCATAATACTTATCATTCAATGTTAACCTTTTCGCTCATTTTTTGTCATTTCCCTTTGTTTATCTTTCATTTGAAAATAACAATTGAACAGCAAAACATTGCATATGGTAAAATATTGGAAACAAGAAGAAGAGAAGAAAACTTCACTTTTTGTTTCACTTTTTGCTTCATGAAATTGTTTGATTCAATATTTGGTTGATTATAACATTTTAACAAGTTTCATTAGTCGATTGCCCTTAACTCAAGTCTTGATATGTAAAAATAACGCTTACAAGACACAAAAAGGGGAAAAATTCAAGTTGTAAATAGAAATGAAAAGTTTCGATGTAATGAGCGAAGAAGAGGAAGAAGAAGAATTGAAATTTTGTAATCATCAAGAGATGAATAAGATAAAGACTCTTAGAATGCAATCAACAGCACTTTTTATTCAATCTTTCATCGAGCTAACCAAGAACCCATGTCTGTATGGAAATAACAGTTTAAAGGTGAAACCCTTTTTTCCCTCTTCTTTTCTTCTCGCGATCATGTTCATCTTAATTCATCTCATTGATTTACCATCATATGGCTGGTTGAAGTTAAAGTAAATTACATTCCAAGTGTAATAATAAAAACATTTAAACTCGTATTTTTTTGTTCTCGCCGTTCCTTTTTTTTATATTACTAAACATGTTGGCGAATAAATTATCAAATAAATGAACATTTTCAACATTTTAAGGCTCTACCTTTACCTTCTTTGTTTACCATAATTTACCGGCGAAAGAATGGAGAAGAAGAAAAGAGTGAAAATGAATATTGATATTAAATGAGCAACTTTGAGGGAATCATATTCATTGTTTTTCATCTATTGACATTTGGCTCATCATCTTAAAGCCTGCGTTCAACATTGAGAGCATTCACTTCTTCCTTGAATATTCACAATTTTGTTTATCCATCACAAGGCAATCTGAATAAAATGAACAATAAGTTGAAACTTACTTGCGACACAGTGATATTGAACTTCTAGATATTTAGGTGTTCCTGGACAAGGATCACCAAACAAGTCACTTGAAACAGTTACATTGCAATTTGATTTATTAGAGCATCTGTCTTGCATTGTAAGGTAAGATCTAAAAGACATACAGTTGACTCTAAGATCCAATTTACCTCCATCATTACAAATGGCTAAACTGAAACGTCCATAATTGGCTCTAACTAGATGAATTGATTGGCCCTTTGGACAGCCAAGATTGAGCACATAACCATCACAAGCATAAGTTGTTTTATATTCAATGTGAACACGTTCAATTGGAGGTCGAAGAGATAAAGTTGGTTTCTGTGAAACAACTGAACTCCTTTGGCCAATAAATAACAATAATAAAGATATAATCCAAAATGGTTCACAGTTGCACTTTAAAGTTGATAATTTCATTCTTGTTTTGTATCCAATCACATTTTTTTGGTCAAAAATATATAACACAAGTTAACTCAAAATAAGTCAAATGTAAACTGAAAACCAACTTCAACTGCTCAACTTGACTCACTCAGTCGATTGTAGCGCCACACACCAAAAAGTAGCTCCATCTATACGTGAACCAAAGCGTGAGAAAAGGTTATCCATCAAATCGGAGAAACGGCTGGTTGAGAGTCTCATTCCTCTGGTTAACGCCCGGTCAATTTATCAAAGAAAACCAAGTTCTGGAAGGATTGGAGGTTAAAATTAATAATGGATTGGAATGTTCAATAACTGCCAAAATCTCATGGATTTAAATTATTCTCAACACAGAGCAAAAGAAGACTGGCTTTGAACCTGAAACGGAAGATTCAGACTCCGGTATTATTATTGATAACCTTTAAATTCAATTTCGACTGTTAATATTTCATTTGTCTTTTACATTTTTTTTCACAGACTTTTGTCAAAGTTTAACTGTAAGTCAAACTGATATGTTGAAAAACAAGAGAAAATTATATTTCTCAAAATAAGACCGTTTTCTGGTTGATGGTCAAAAGTCAAGAAAATGGGTTTAATGAAAATCTGCTTCCATAATTGACACAAGTCTGTGCTTTTCTCATGTTAATTTTTGAAATTTTTTTGATGAAATTGTTGCTGTTTGATTACTTTGAAGCAAATGGGCCATTTTTCAGTCAACATGGAAAAGATGAAAGACTTGAGTCAATTTTCCTAGGAACTAGAAACAAATGTCAGAACATCTTTAAAGCATTTCGGGTTTAGCTTATTGACTTATCACCATGTGTCATCAAGATTTGTGTGTTTCACTGAAATTTTGTCCGATTGTCGGTTGAAAAAGATGAATAACGAAATGAATAAACTTCTCTGTTTTGTCTTGCAATTAACATTGAGAAAAGTTGACAAATTAAAGTTGAAACAATTATTCGCCAGTTTAGACACAATTTAGATATTTGATTTTCAATACGGAAAATGAATGTAAATGAAGAAAGATTGAAAGGTGAACTCACTCATCAGTAAATAGTAATTTTGAAGTAAGAAAAATCAGTGTTTATCTTTAGCCTTAAAGTATTGAAGAGTCGGAAAACACTTGAAGAGTTGAATATCATGAAGCATTTCATGAGTCTGTTTAATCGATTAAGACTGTTTACTGTAAATGAAAGATGCTTCTCAAGTGATTGTGTCAAGATTGATGGTAAGACCAAAAAGACCAGAATATCTCGAACCAGATCTCGAGATGCATTAAATTCGCACTTTTACCTTAAAATGATCGCTATAAACCACTTTTTGCCCTGCATCATGACAAAAGAGAAGAAATAAGTTGATTATGATTTTTTGTCTCAAGATCATTTCCATTGGCAAAGAGACAAACCAAGGTTTAACTCGAGCCATTTCAATGATTTAACCATTTCATATTTACCAATCTATTATACAATTTACTGCAAAATGATAATCAAGATGAATAGCCTCAAGGAATTGGAAGAAGAAGAAAATGAGAATCAGAATGAACCTGAAACATGATTACCTTTCAGTTGAAGCTTTCTCAGTTGCCTTCTTCATCACCTTTGATTAAAGTTTAAGGTAAAGACTGGTGCAACAAATGGACAAAAAGAAGCAAAAATGTCTCAAAAAATGACGAGAAAAAGAAACAAAAGTTGAATGAAAAAGACGAAAATGTTTAAATTAAGTTCGGAAAAAGAGGAAAAAAATTTCTCTTTGCTCAGCTTTTTTCCACCTTTACTCTTCATCTTTTTTCCACCTTTACTCTTCATCTTTTTTCATCCTCATCTTTGCTTCATTTTGTATCTCAACAAGCAAAGTGAAGAAAGGCAAAACTTATTGAATTATCCACCTTTAAGGTGATGTTCATATTACCTTGTACTTTGTCTTTGTCAACCATTCCTAACCTTTTCATCTCTTTCATACCTTTCCTCTTGTTTGCAAAGTTTCTTCTTGCTCCTCATCTTTCACATGCACTTTACTCACTGCTTTACAATTATCCATCTTTTATTAGAAGAAGAAGAAAAAAAGAGTAGAAAAAATGGAAAAATTTTCACTAATAGAAATGAATTGAATGAACATTTGCATTATTTAAACAACTTTTACACTCAACAAGATTTATTTGTTAAGGTAAAAGCGTCAATGAAATGCGAACTCAAACACAAATGAAATGTTTGCACTAAATGTTAATCTCATCAAATATTAAAAGTTGAATAAAAGTTTTCCAATGAATTTTCAATAAACTGCTTCAATTAAAAAGCAATGAGTTTCATTTCAATAACAGTTGAGAAACTTTTAAACTTCAATTTCTTGTTACAATAAAGCAAAATAATCCAATGATTTAAATCTCGAGTGAAATCTGTTAGACTAAAAGTATGGCTAAACTCATTGGTTTTACCGGTTTGACTCTTCGGTTTGGATTGACCAAACTGTTGCATATCGAGTGACAGTTTCATAGTCAATGTCGAGTCAATCGGTTTTACCCTTTTCAATGTTGCTTTTGTTGGTATGAAGTTGCCTCTTTCGGTAAAGACTTTACTCTTCATCGACAAATATTGAGGTAACTGAAAAGTCAATGTTAAAAGAAAGAGAAAAGGCAAATTACTTTTGCAAACATTTTTCAACTTTCTTTCAATTCCTTCAATATCTTCATTTGCTCTCATCATCAATGTTCATCAGTAACTTTTACCCATCCTGAGTTGACAAGAGTGTAAAACCATGTAATTGTGGTGCATTTACGGTTGGCGCTCAAGAAATGTGCATTTCTTAGTTTCCTCCATTTTCCTTCGTTTACAATCTTCTTCAAGAATATAATGATCATCATGGATGAAGATTAAAACTGAAAACCATTATTCTCCCTCTCTTCAAATATTTGTCAACGAAAAGTAAAAAAAGACGAAATAAATTTTCGCCAAGTCAACGTTTTCTTGTATCAAGTGAAGGTAAAAAAAGCAAAATAGTCAACATTAAATGAAGTTGAGCATTCACATTCATTTTACCATGCAATCGTATTTACAGAGTAACAAAAACACTTGAAACAAATGAAAGAAGCTCAAGCAGAGCTAATAATATCACACATATTATCAAATGTTGATCTGTGTAAAGAAGAGAAGGGAACTTGAAAAGTTATTGAGATTATCCGATAATCCAATTGAGACTCGAAACTTGAATCCAATTGAGAAGTGTTCATTGGAAGTGACAAAAGTGCAACATGTAAGGACAAAATGTTTTGCAAAAAAAGGAAAACAAAATGGACAATCGAGCGAAAATGAGAAAAGACAAAAATCTATTTTTAAAGGCAACATCTTTTGTTGGCCTTTTGCTTCCGTTAATGATGGTGATGATGATGAGTTTAACAAACAAATCATTTTTACCTCACACTAAGAAAAGGTAAAGTGACATTGGCCACAACAACAACCTTTGACCACTAATTATTGGCCATTTTTGTTCTTCTTCTCATTCATTTTGCTCTTTGATTTTGTTTTTCTTCTTCTTCTATTGTAACTCATCTTGACTCCAAGCTGCAGGCTATTGTTAGTTGGCTCATCTTGACTAACCCTTTCCAGTCTGACCATATCTTGACCAGAAGGTCTTTTGGTTAAACTGTTAATTAGTTGAGGAATGAAAAGAAAAGGAGAAACATTCGTTATGACTTACAATATTTCCATTTGAACATGTCAACAATTGTCGCTGTTCGCTAATGAGTTTCCAACCCATTCATATCCTTAATTACTTTTAAATTGTTGACTTTTTTCATTCTTAATCCAAAATACATTCTCAACTCATGGTGATGATTATAATGATAATGATCATCGTCAAGATGTTAACCTTTTCAAGTCTCTTTTTAATCACTTTTCATGTTCAAGTGCTACTTCAACTTGAAAAGTCTAATGATGAAATTAATGAAACCATTTGTTATCCAGTTTAATGATCTCATAATTTGCTCAATTTTCGCGTCTTGTGACCTAAGAAAGTGCCTCGAAAACAGTGGACATTCAACTGATTGGTATTGGAATTTTCAAGTTCCATTTCGTAGAATATGAGTTTCAATTTGACAGAAAGTTTTTAATCCTCATTCTTGTCGGAATTTCGTATTTAAAATCATTTCAAAATTTCTTTATTTTTGCATTCTTCTTGAAACCTCATTATAACTAATTTCATACTCAAAATGCAGTGACAAAACTTTATTATTGAGATTGTCTTGCAATTTCATTCTGTGATTGACCCAAAAACCAGCATTTGATTCACAACCAATTTTTAGTCAATTTGACGCTTGTCCATGTCATGATTTGACAAAAGTTGAAAGGTCACTTTGTCCGTAAAAATTGAAACTTGGAAAATTAAATTGCTCAAAGCTAAAACTGATTGAAAGTTTAGACAGAACAATAAAGTTTTGTCACGGAATCGATGAGAAATGAATGCTTTTCCCGGACAAAAAAAAGAAAATGAAAAATGGCAAAACTCAAAGAGCAAGAAAATCGTAAAATGAGAACATTCTGTGAGAAAAGAGAATCAACTTTGAATCAACTTCTCAGGAAATTTCAATGTAAACCAACAACAATCATAACCAATCAGTGAACAAGGATAAACTTAGAAGCATAATTTGTTTTCATTTTGAGAACAAAAAGTCAAATTTTCAACTAACACCAATTATCCCGTTCAATTTGGCCGTTAATCAATTGATAAATGATTTAAACTAATAATTGAAACAAATGCTTTAGGGATGATGTTTGATGAGTAAATCTGATAATCTAGTCAAGATGCAAATCTATTGAACAGAGGAAACAAAAAGACGGCGCAAAACGAGGTTAAAACCTACACATTGAAAAGAGATCAACATTGAAACCGTTATTCAGATAAAATCTGGTATTGCATTTCCTGTAATCATCAATGGAACTCCCTTTTCATAATGAATTGGCTTAATTAGCCGATTATTTAAATAATTAGAAAGAAAAGTTGAACGAAGAAAATGTTATCACAAAGACTGAACATGTAAACCTGTTTACCTCTAAATTAATAGGAATAATGACTGCTAATGATAATTAATGGAAAAA